GTGACTGACCCATCGTAGCTCATGATGCTCTCGACCAACATTCCCGATCATTTGCGGCAGAGTAGCAGTGAAGAAGCCGTATCAGTCATACATGCGCCGGAAAGCTTCCATAGCTGGGTAAGTATCTCATGGAAACTCTTTCCCAAACAGGCAGAGAGTAACCTTGGGACAGGCCTCTACGGAGCCGACAGTAAAGCCGGATCAAAGCAGCACGAGATCATCACCCAAGACCGATACAATGAGTCTTCCATCCGTCACCGATCATGCAATTAAGGTACGGCTGCCTAAAAGCTCCACCTGAAGCCATTCAAGTACTGAGCTAGAACAGTCGAGATCCCCTGGACTGCCTACACCACCTCCTCTCTCCACAGATATCCGGCCCGTTCGGTACAGTCTAGACAGCGCCACACCACGCGCGCAAGACCTCCACGACATGCTTAATGAGTCGTCCCGGCTAAGGTCTAGCAGCACAAGCAGCCTTGAAAGTTTGTATATTCCACACACTCATCCTATGACTGAATGGGCTAACGCGAAACAGAAATCGACGAGGCTAGAGAAGTAGAGACCGATACCGAAAATTACGACGAAGAGCCCTTCGCTACCCCTGCCTTGCCTCAGGAGGATTCGGAAATCAGGGCTCTACGAACCGCTCTCCAAGAGTGCTGGACATTGTGTAACACGTTAGCGAACTTGAGCTCGATTCATCGAACACGGATGTTCAATAGCTCAGGTACTCCCGATGCTCACGAAAAAGCTTGGATGGCGTGCTGGAGGCTTTGCCAGCGCCTGTATGACAACCGCGACGAAGACCACTATGATCACCACGTCCGAGAGAATCTCGATCATTGCCGAGACTTTTGCCAGTCCCTTTTCGACGTCCGGCAGAGGAAGGATGAAGTTGCTGATTCTGTTTTGAGAGTCAGTTTTGAACTGAACAACCAGTGAGTCCATTCCAGAGATCCACAAGGGTTGGACAAATCAGCTAACCATGATCCAGTCTCTATAGCGCTCAGGACATCCAGAACCTCCCAGAACCCTTCCGGGAGCGTACTTTAGATTTCTATATTACGCTTTGCCATCGATTGATGAAACAGCGAAGCGAATTGGCCGATGAGACGGACTCTTTGCTAAAGGCGTGTTGGTCACTTGCCGAGATGCTGTTCAGTCTGAGACAGAATAAGCGTGACGGAAGAGCTCCTGACGAGGAGCTCTTGTGTTCCGCGGTACAGGCATGCTGGGAGCTTTGCGACCTCTTCAGAGACGGGTGGACTCAAGTGCGGCCAGACCGAAACACCCCACGACCGAGCCAGACGAGCTTCTTCGGCCATCAGCAGCAGTATGATCAACCTGCTCGAGGTGAGAGCAGAGCGTCGAACCGATCATCGTACTCAAAGAGGGAAAGTCACAAAAGCCTGACCGAGGAACGGCCACGGAAGCCGCCACCAGTTCCTGAAACTCCCGTGACCGAATTTGAAGACACGCCGATCTCTCCAGAGAGCTCCTCACCCCGAGTGCCAAATATTCTTGTTCTAGGCACAACATCTGACAGCGGACGTGGGGGACGGTGGTCAAGCAGCGCTTCGCAATTGTCGAGCTACTCGCAAAGCAGCAACAAGACATCAAGCACGGCAACAACGACTACGGCAGGCGAGGACAGCAACAGCAACCGCATCAAAGCCCTCGTCATTAAGGCTGCCATGAACGTTGGCTTTACTCGAGACCCGACTCTTGACAGTAAAGCCGAGAAGTCAGCTCTCCAAGCCTTTGTCAAGCATATGCCCACGGGCTCCTTCGGGTCCTTGCCTGCGCACTCGACACTTTTACAGCACTACAAGAACCTTGTGCATGCCGATTCGGCTTTCAGGGGATCCTCGCTGCTTCCGGCCCATGGCAAACGTATCTCGGCGCATGACCTGGCCAAAAGCGTTCACTACATGAGCCAAAGATCTAGCCAGTATATATTCTTGCGCGACCTGTACAGGCTCGTGTTTGGCTTCCCACCAGAGGAGGGCGAGTCGAGGAAATCAACAACTATCGTGGTCTGAACGCCTACTTTCCCTCAAATCTTGTCCTATTTCTCTTGTTTTGATTTTTTTTTCCCAACTGCATTGTTCTTCGGGGTTTCCCCACGAAAACCACTATTACAGCCTATTTCACCATCCTCACAAGGCCGAGCAAAGCGGGTAGGTCGATTGCGAAGAAAAATCTGCTTGGAGAGGCCAGAGTTTCAAGCAGACGCACACATACACACAAACAACATGCAAAACAATACACAACATACCTGGGGGAGAGCGCCCGTCTGTTCGTTTCTACTGCACTAGATACCCATCGTGGACGGATTTTGGCGCTGGGAGCTTGGACAATGGGAGGCTAGAAAATCGTGCGTCTTTTTCAATGTCGTTATGAGAACAAGGCAGGCTGGGAGCGTCGTTCGTTACATTACATGTCACAATGGATATTGTGGCCAATCTGGGAGGAAATCATCTTATAGTCTATGTCGCAATGACCACCAACTACCTATCTATTTATTCGCAAGCTACCGTGCCTGCGTACCGAAGGTCCAAATATGGTGAGTTCATTGTCGAAGAGGAGTTTGTCGAAAAGGAGGAATCTGCTGAAAAGGGGAAGAAAGGGGGTATCGTATTCGAAAGTAGGCAAGGTGTTATGTGATGCTTCGTTGCGTTCTAGGCGACAAAAATTGTATGTGAACTGTAACTGAGAGATCGTATGCAAGAAGGAAAAATGCGGATCGTAGCTCTACTCGAGAGGACCAAAGAACTGCTGAGAATAGTCGGCATGGCCCTGTGGCTCTGCACTGTACATGAACAGTTCTTCCCACTCGGCATTGCTCACGTTGTTCCAGTCGACGCTGATGTCGCCAGAGAAGCTAGCGACGTTCTGGCCTTCGATTTGTTGCTGCGCAGAAATTAAGGCTCCAGAATCTTGGTATGTTCCGCTGCCGCTGGCCATCAACTCAGCATATGCATAAGGTGCAGAAGTTTGGGTATACTGTGGAACGAGCAGATCTAAGTTGAATCCCGGTGCGGTATCATAACCAGTCACGCCCTGCCAGGTGCCTGATTGAGTACCCCAGAAGTTCCTCTCTTCCTCGTTGTAGGGTGCTTCCCATGGCGCAAATTGCGTGGACTGGGAGAAGTTGAGGCTGGGGCTCGCAGATAACATCGTTGGGTCTGCCCCTGTCCACGTGGGAGCAGCTGATGGATCTGGTTCTTGGAACATAGTATTCTCGAAGTTGACGGTGCTATAGCTAGATGGGTCCATCGGGCGGTCGAGCTGTGCGAAAAACGAGCTGTCAGTTGTTGGTCCTTGAGGATACTCATTGTCGATGCTATTGAGAAGCTTTGTCAGGGGTGACAAACTGGGGTCTGCATGCACATGATCTGTGCCCATTCTCAGATTCTCGGGGGTTACAGGGACTTCGGGAAGATTGACATTGAGTAGGTTCAACGCTTCATCATCGTGTCCGGTCGTCTGGGGTGCGTTGTTGTTTGGCATCGGGGATAAATACTGAGCAGGGAGCTCCTGGGAGTATGTCTCCTGCGGCTGGGTCTTCAAACGCTTCGGGATGCTCTCTTGAGGTCCTTCAAGCACTGGAGGAGATAAGCCTGCATCCGGGGCTGTGATCGATCCATCACCCGCTTCCTCAAGCTCATCCCGCTTTCGCTTCTGCACTGTAGAAGGGAAGAGCATTTGCTCGTAGTGCTGCTGAACAGGCTGTACACCATACGGGCGGTCGGGATCCTCCTCGAACATCTGCAGAATCTTTTCGTGTGCGGCAGCATACTCCTCTGCGTCGATGCGCGCCTGCTCATCCTGCTGTACCTCGTCGGAGGACAAAGCCAGCTTCCCGGGAGCCTCTGAGGGAGAATTGTATACATAGCTTGCCAGGACCTGCAGCATGTGGTCCTCAGAGACTGAATCATCCTCATTCGTAGAAGATGTGAAGGATTGATCGTTTTGATCGTTTTCGCACTGGATGGGTGCAACCATTGCTTCCCTAAGTTGATTAGAATTAGTAACTTGGGTCACGTCTCCCGAGAAGCTGAACCGACTTACTGCCATGGAGATGGAACCGCAGTCTTTCTATTACCGCCATTGTCCGGGACCTGTCCATTGATCATTGCCGTGCTGCCAAAAAATTATCAGAAAGTGGCACTCTTCACGTTTTCCAAGCAAAGAAGGAGAGAGTAAGGGAGGCGTAGGCCAAAAGGTAGTAGTGAAAGGGCCCATCGAGGGAGGAAACTTACCCGAATTCAGGATCATGGCCATATTTGGCTCTGACGTATTTCAATTGAGCCATGGTGAGAGTCTTGCTGAATCGCTGTTCGTACTCGCGCAAGGTGTCCTTATGATCCTTGTCCTTGACGAGGCTGTGATGGAGAATGAAGATAATTTCTTCCTCAGTATAGGTGATTTGACCAACCATCCTTAAGGTTAGTCGTTTGTTTGCTGTATTTGCAGGTGTCTCAGGTGCATACCGAGAGGCCGTGTATCGTGGATAGGATAGCTTGGGTTGGATTGTTTGGGACAGTGTGTGAGAAGAGGAAGAAGATTTGTGTGAAGTTTAGAAGTTTGGAAGTAAGGAAGTTCAGAAGTGAAAAACTTCGGAAGTAAGGAAGCGACCAGAAAGAACCGTAGGAGAGTGATCCACGAGTTTTCTCAGAGGGAGGGACGAGTGATTTTTGAAGAGGCAGTGATTCAGGGCCACAGATATACATAGAAGATGGAAGGAGGTTCTCCTGGGGGAAGGAGCCTCCCGTGAGCTGGACACGCGGCACGGCAACGGGTTGGGACGGACGGTAAAGTTGGTTGCACCTGATTATTGTATGTCAAGGCATCAGAGTCATCTATCATTGAATTCTGTTTTGTCTAGATCTAATTCTAAAATGCGAGGGCTGGCCTATGCCATTATCCATCGTCTAATCTATGTCTTGAGTCGTCTTCAAACTCGATCATTTCGCCGATTGCGCCTCTAGTATTCATATTTGCTGCTTGCGTGCAAAGATTCCCCACCAACAAGTCACGTCGGTGCCCTCCTTGTCTTCACCCCAGTCATCCTGGCCATCGAGTGTTCCTTCCTCAATGCATAGTAGAGGGTTTTCCTGGCTTCCCATAGCATCTCGGAAAGCCTTGAGAAGCTTCTTGGTGGTTTCGTCTCGTAGCGGGACCATTACAACTGCGCGAGCATCGTCTGCAATTGATAGCTGCTCAGAAAAAGCACCTGCCAGAAGCCCTGGATGACAGTCGTCGTAAAGGGGGTCAGCAACGAGGACAACCTATGGGCTAGATTAGCAGTCTCTCCGTAGCAATCTTCAATAGTCACGTACCTTGAACTGGTTTCGTTTGCCAAAGAGATCCTGATCAATTTCCTCATCCCCTGAGCCACCCCAAGTAAGTGCACCAGCGTTCAATGAACCTCCCAGCTTCTCCACCGTGGCACGGTTGGCCTCGACGTTATGGCAAAGATTCGACATGATATCTGGCAAGTCGCTGAGAATTACATGAGCCTTCCACAAAGCTGCCGCCGCAAGTCCAAGTAGGCCTGTGCCAGAACCTAATTCCAAGATAGATGGTCGCGGCTCGCCCAGAGATTCGTCAAAGAGCCGGAAGAGAGCTGTCGAACCAATAGATGGCAAGTGCTTGGCGAGAACGTAAGAAGACCCCCAGGTCTTGAGACCAAGTGAGTCGCCGGTCAGGGGCGGCTCCCGGATTATGAGCTCAAAGGTCGGCGTGAGGTCCTCTTCTCTAAAGGGCCATCGCCGAGTAATCTCGCCCATGGCTACGTGCGGCATTAGAGGCTGCGCAGTTCAGGAAAGGCAGCAGTCATTGTCAACACGTACCGGTTCTTCCACATCGTTCCGTCATCCTGCGGCTAGCCTCTGACCATACTTCCTCCTTCTTGTCATCGTCCTCAATCCAGGAGAGGCCGCTCTTGATGATGGACGATAGGTACATCGTCACTTCGCGCCGGAAATACGCCGTGGCCTCTTGTTCATGAATGATATCAGATCGCCTGCGCTTGTGACTCCATACCGGAGGGCTAAGTTCCAGTTGCTTCAGCGTGCTGAGTAAGTCATCACTTGACGGCTTTTGCCACATCTGCGGGAAGTCCTTCGGTTCGAGTATCATGGTTGCGGATTAAGAATCTATGTGCAGTCGTATACTATGAACACCTGAATCCGGTAGAATCCGCATCAAAAGAGAAGAAAATTAAGCAATAACGTTGACCAGAAGAAAAGGTGCGTCGTCGATGAGAAAGTGAGAAGGGGGACATGTGTCTCAGCGTCACGGAAATTTTGTGCAGCGGTCTGGACCTGACCAAAGACCCCATCGCCAATACAAAACCAAAGGGACCTCACGCAGGAACCACAGCGGCAGGGCGATAAGGATCCTTATCGCTAAGCTTCGGGACCCACCTCATAAAACGTGGATCCAGATCTGGCAGGTGGGGGATTGCTTCGAGGGGTCTTTCCTTCCGAAGGTACCTGCCAGTCCAGCTCACTGATTGGTTAGCCTCATTTGCAAGGCTGCCGCCAAAGACCCTTGCAACCCCACGTCACAAAAAATTCATATATAAAGCGCCAATTTCCGCGCAGAGTCTGACTCCTCTTCTTTTTTCCCTTCTTCAAGCACCGTCCTCTTCAACGCTGCGTTTCTATGCTACAAACGGAGAGATGTACGCGCAAGCGGAAGTCTCTCATTCTACCAAACTGGCATATGAGAAATTCGGAGTAACTTCTTCACACCACTCACCCAATGTCGCCTGCCTAGTGCGGGATGACGGGTCTGCCCGCGAGGGTCTGGCGTGACTTCACGTCTGCAATTGGCATCAGAAAAGCAGGGCCCGGGCCGTTCTCATGTATACCCTGATTCCCTCTGGGGAGAGGGGGAAGATGAGCTCTGGACTCGGTGTCCCTATGGGAGAGCCGTTGCGAAAAGATTGTGCAGAGCACTTGAGTGCGATACGCAGCGTCTGGATCCTGGCTGGCTTCGGCTGGCCAGGGACTTGACAATTCAATTCCGATCATTCTGTTGAGGACGGTGCTTCACCTTTTTTTTCTTCTCAGGTAAGATACATATTTTTATGCGGTTGCGGCTTTATGAACCAAGGATACTACTGACGAACAAATATGCCCTCCTAACAATTATTCTATGTCTCCCTTACTTCACCTCAAACTCCAACCTTGACCGACACGTTTACCGCAGACGCCAATCGCCAACTTCCACGTCAGCCAGTACAGTACAATTCCAGCAAGAAGCGATCGACGACGCATTAGAATTTGACCATTGCCTACCGCATCACTCACGACGGGCTCTAAGATCCCGACTGTTGCCCTTCGCTACTGGCGGCCCAATATGGATCTTTGGACTTTGTGCTTCCCATGCTTCTAGCCGGCAATTTAGATAGTACGGCTCTCCAGACGTTAGAATTGGTATCGGCCAGACTCCGAGCTCTATCGAGGCGCTCCACCAGATCTTCGCAAACGAGATTCTCCTCTGGGGCCTTTGCGGCCAGATCGACGATATCCCTGACAGCGTCAACGACCACCTTGAATTGGCCCTCGGCGTCTGGTGATTTGTCGTCAAAGCCTGAAGCTGGCGGCCAGTTCTTCATCTGAGCGCCTTCAAGTGACTGCAAACACGTCTCCACCTGCGCCATTACTGCATCGAAGTTGAGCGGCGGCGGCGATCTTTCCATGTCCGCCTCCTTCTTGCCTTTCTCTGCATCCTTCGATATCATGTCGACCCATATCTGATTCTTTGTCGCTGGGCTGGACTCCTTGATTTTCTCCACCTGCCCCAGGAACTTTTGGAACGCTGCGTCGTAGACCTCGTGTGCAATTTCAAGCTGGTCATGTACTTGAACTAGCAACAGCCTGATTTGAATGAGGCGATACTGGCGGGACCGGACAGCGGCTTCACGGTCTTGTGGAGCCTGCTGAACGAGCGAGAGGCTTGCCACGGCTTTCTGAACGCGCTCAGTTTCGTCTTCGCTGCTTTCGCCTCGACGGCGACCGCGTTCCCTGGCTCCGGAATTGTCATCTCGGTGTCGACCACTCGATAAGGGGCTCATGATCGGTGAGGATGCCCGTTCGTGCGGCGGCCGCACGTAATAATACGGCGCGAGATATGCCTCAATCTCAAGCGGCGAGGGCGGCGGCGGGTATCGCGCTGGGTAGGGCCTTCGTGGGCTGTAGTGGAAAGGAGGATCGTACAGGTTACGAGACATTGCACGTTGTGGCAAACTTGTTGGTGACGTTGGTTCGCAACAGAAGCTTGAGATTGCTTCCTTTCGAAGTCCAAGAGTCTCCGGCTGGGAGCGGTGATATGGGGGGAGCTATCTGACATATTTGAATGGCTGGAAATACCCTGCCATCCTGCGAACGATCCTATTTCTTTCTTCTCAGGCTAGATGACTACAACTTGGAATTCCATCATGTGAAAGAAGTCTTTAGCTGTCGAGGAACGGGAGTCCGTACGTCGATTTTCTGCAGCTTGGCATTGTATTGGACACAAAGACAAACCGCTCTCTGCGCCTTTCTTTCATCTTGCAAGTTTCCACTCGTCTTTGTTTAGGCAATGCTGCATATTTGCTCTTCTTGTTGATAAGGCTCAGGTAACGGACCATTATCTGTCTATTTGCATTTCCACACTCGGAGTTCCTCAACTCAAGATAAGTGAGAAGACCCGCAAACTAGTTTTTCGGACATAAATCTAAAGGGGATCTGTACATCTTTCTCTTGTCAATACTTGAAAGTCAGCTTAGTCTTCAATACAAATCACATAGAATCTGAGACCTTCTTTCACAATGGACAAACCCCATCTCGCTGCAAGCTTGCAAGAGAATACGGGGCAGTCTCTCTCAACTCTTCCATATTTGCATCCTTCATGATTTTCTCTCTCGCCCTTTCAATGGACCACCCCATCTCAAACAAACCTGCCTTTTTCGCTTTTGAGCATTGCATATCAGTAGCGGCATAGCCGACCAAGGATGACGTGGGATCTCCCAAGTAAAGTTTTCGTGACATTGCAACATCAGACACCGGTAGCAATCGCCACACCTCCAAACAAAGCAAAACAGACAACCCCCGACCCCGGGAAAGGCTAAATAAAAAACCAACGGCGGGCGGGCCGGGAGCCGGCGGCGTACGTGTGGGGGGTTCTGGAGGCTGGGGCATGGTCGGTTTAGCTTGGCAAACCCGGGACTCCTCCTCCACCTCCCACGCCTTCCGGTCCCCCCGCTATTACGGAGTACACTAAGTAGAAATGTGACTTGTAGGTACGGAAAGGAAAGGTAAGTTTGTGACTTCATACCCGTCAGCCTACCAACACATAGAAGGATCGTAGAGGAACAAGCCCGCCCATTCAAGCTTTTTCTGTCTCTTCGCTGAACAAAAACCTCGGATAAAGCGTTTCATAGGGAAAGGGTCACTGATGCCTTTGGTGGCGTACATTCCGATGTTGGTTTGCTTTTTTTTCCCCCCAAAACCTTTTCACTTTCTTCATTGGGATCCTACCTGCTGCAGGACAGGATCGCAGGATGCGGGTGGGCAAAGCAAGCCACCAAGTTTGCACATAAGGTGCCTTAGAGATAATTCATTTTCTGCTAAACTCTTTATGGGGCAAAACCCAATCTGTCATCTGGCTTTGCTTGTTTGCCTGCAGGGAAGACTAGATCTGGATAGCGGGAAAGAAGAAAGAAAGAGAAGGAACAAATGACAAGATCGAGAGACATGCGTAGGTATGCGTGAGGTTCTTGGATCCCCATCTCCAACAAGATCTGGATCAAAAATTGAGGCATTGAGACTTGAGAGCCTCGCACGCAGCTAATTGAGATGCTCTCCTCCACGAAAGAAACATTCAAGTGTCCCCGTGGTTTGAAGCGACGAGGAACGAAAATGCTCACGTAAGGAAGGTCTCTACCATGTAGGAAAGCAAAGTACCAAAAGCCGGGATCCCCCCCTCCCCCAAAGCACTCATCTTCCTGTAACCCCGATTTCTAAGAACAAAAAGAAAACGAGCAAAAATACTAGAACAATCCATTTCCGCTGACACATCTTCTTCTTTTCTTGCTTTGCCCACCCAAACCCCGAGAGCAAATCTCCCAATACCCATTTTAATGAATTGCGGGGAGCTCTGGTGGAGTCGTAACCTCCCTCCTAAGCGGAAACTACCGCTGGTCCTGCGGAACAACGGGTGAGAATTTTGGGAAGCCACCTCCATGTCACGATGCAAGCAAAGGCAGGTCAGGTCAGATCAGATCAGAAAACCTCGCAAATCATCACATCGGTCATTTTCTTCCTCCACAAATGTAAGTATCTCAATCATGAAAAGCACCAGCCTGGCAATCGTCGCGTGCCAAAAAAGAAAAGAAAAAGTATCTGTACGGATATCCGGCCCCGTATTATCCAGAAAATGGAGGAGAGATGAAGGAGTAGGCGCACGGCCGTTTTCGACAGGACAAACAGCCAAGGATTTGCAGGTCTGCAGCCAGGGGGCGAGGGTCCCGTCATGACGTTGACACCCTGTATGAACAAACGCCGCCTCGTTTCTCAGCATTCGTAAGGATACACCGCATCATCACTGCTATCGACTCAAGCTGCGGGTATCACCAGGACTAGTAGTCTCAATTCAAATCAACCAGTCATAGTCAGGCAATATAATCGTTCAAATGACTTTCATTTGGATACTGTTCTGTTTTGTGTAGCTGACTACCACCTGGTATCGATCAAAATGAAGAAGACAAGAAAGTGAGTATCTCCAAAAGGGAAATATTCCTGGCCCGCATCCACGGTTTACCAGTTGGCTGGTTTTTTTTCCAGAGTCCATGCAATCCTATATGCTGGTCGCCAATGCCCGTTCCGTCCCCTGTGATGCAATCCCAGCCCAAGTGAAAAGAAAAGGAAAAAGGTGAGAAAATCATTTCGCTGTTGCTGATGCTTTCAAGTGGCCGTCCAGTCGAGGACTCTCTTGAGATGTCCCGAAAAATTATCGCTTTTTCCAAAGAAATCCCAAAACACGTTTCTGCGCCTTCGCCTTTTTGGCTGGGGCTTCTTTCGCCGTCTTCTTCGTCGATACGTTGCTCTTAGAAAGCGGCCGTTCAATCAGTTTGCAATTGTCCTTCTTGG